TAGCCAGTAATGATTTTCTATAGATTTTTATTTATTTTAGTAGTAGCTAGATGCTTTTTTTTCCCTATTTGCTCACCATGTATAAGAAATCTAAAGCAAGCCTTTGATAAACCATTATGTCTAAAATGTGTGTTTTAGATTCACCAATTCTTTTGGAGCAAGAAACTGATTAGTGATAAAGTAGTAAGTGATAAAATAGTTTGTTCAGATGTGAAACTGCTCAATTATTACTGTTTCAGATAAAGACGTCTGCCCCATGTATTGTGTGTGTGTGTGTGTGTGTGTGATTTCCTATAGAATAATTTCATAAATTAAACTTCCTTCTGATTAGATAATGTCCTTAAATCTTTATTTTTATTTGCTTGATATCTAATAAAATAATGGAATACATTTAACCCAATATGTATTATGGTGCAGTCATGTGCCACATAATGATGTTTAGGTCAACAAAAGACTGTGTATAAGACAGAGGTCCCACAAGATTATAAAGAAGCTGAAAAATTCCTATTGCCTAATGACGTTGTCGCCCTCAAAATGCCATAGCGCAGTGCATTACCTAGAAAGGAACAATAGGTTATAGCATGTAGCCTGGGTGCGTGGCAGGCTATACCATAGAGGTGTATGTGAGCACACTCTACGATGCTCACACGCTGGCAAAATTGCTGATGACACGTTTCTCAGAATGTATCCTTGTCTTTAAGTGACTCATAACTGCATATAACTTTACTTTTCTTAGACTATTTATTGTCATTCACTTTGCATTATTTTTATATTTGATATGTTCTTTAATGCCTGTTAAAAAGTCTCCACGGCTGCTAGTCTTTAGTCCTCCGCAGCTTTAGATATTGAAGAAAGTATAGGAAACAGATGTTCATTTAAGACAAAAACCATTTTACAGAACATTATCATTAATATTTGTCATATATTTTATGACTCTCCAACTCTTGTAATTTAGGAATTATTATCCGGTGCCGTTAATAATGGGGAGAATTGGTTTTTCCCTTTTTTCCCCTGAAAAACGTGAATAATAAATATGCAGATAGGAAAAAATATTTAGGTAATATAAAATTTATTTAATATAAACTGTGGATTTTCTTGACCATGTTAGTTCATGTTACTATTCCACAATGAATATTTTATTACAGTTATAACTTCTGAACATCAATTATGCCACTTATATTGGTCTTTACTCAAGTATTATTTAAGATAAAAAGTAAAGTAAAAAATATAATGTAGCATTGCCTTTAGTAAAGCAACTACTCAATTTTATTATTAAAAAGTAAGTTAATTGATTTCAAAATTACTGGTAAGTTTCTACTCAATAGGATCCATAGTAGATCATGTGCAGAATAACACCAACTGGTGGAAGAAATGTGAGAAGCTGCCTTCCAGGAGCCTGGACTTTAAGCCTCACCTTTGTTACCTCAAACCAGACTAGGGTCAGCTTCAGAGCCTGGTTCCTTCTGTATCCACCACCCACCCCAATCTCCACAATCCACTATTGCTCACATTCCAACACAGCGCAAATAAGGACTTTCAGTACCACCTTGAATATATTAATCAACCTCCAAATAAGAACTAATTGTAGTTTTCTTTTAACTGAGATTCTTTGATGTTTATGCCTTCCTCACCCCCACTCCCAATTAAATCGAAGACACAATTGAATACATTTACCTTTGGAAATCACCTCAAGTATGAAATAAATCCTACCATGTGCCATACCCATGTCTCATTCTTTTAATTCGAGGGCTATTAAGAACAACTTTTGAGAAACAGTTATAATAGGTGTATATCTGTAACCCATCACAGCTTTTCAACAAGATTTTCTTTCAATAAGAGTTCCTGCTTTTAGACTTACTTTTGAATGAGAAGATATGTTGGAAGTAGTATCAATTTATCATGATCTCCCACAAATCGCAAAAGGAACTCAATATGCATTAAATATGGAAGGTAATGCAGCTAAGATCCCTTGTGAATAAATAATAATTGTGTTTCATGTTATCAAATTTTCTGTACAGTTTTTATGTTAATATGTCAAGAAGGAAACTTTCCTTACAAAAAGGAACTCAATATGCATTAAATATGGAAGGTAATGCAGCTAAGATCCCTTGTGAATAAACAATAATTGTGTTTCATGTTATCAAATTTTCTGTACAGTTTTTATGTTAATATGTCAAGAAGGAAACTTTCCTTACGGTCTTATCATCAAGGAATAAAGATCATTTGTGTTCAATTGTGTGTAGAAACAGAGGCAAGAAGAACTTAAACTAATCCTGTTCTGACGGATTGTCAGGGCGAAACAAGTACAGGATTTTGCTAGCTGCTTTGGAAAAGCAGTACAGAAAATTTTGAATGTCATTCCTACATAGTGCCAAAGGCCAAGAGACATGGGAAATGTAAAACTGAGTTCAGTATCGTTTCTAATCCTTCAGCTGTCATGTACATTAGAAGCCTGCCTGAGGTGGACTGCACAGTATGGGAAATTCCATTTAACATCATCTCTGTTCTAGAAAAAGTAAGAAAGAAGATACCGACAATGAAATACTTCTTACATCTTTCAGATTTCCTGCATTTGAGGTCAAATTGACATTATAGTATGTTTTCACTATGTTAAGACTTGAATGAACCTTTTAAATCTACTTAAAATACATTAAAATTAATAAAAATATATCTCCTTTATAAAATTAAAAAATTAAGTTCCTTATACCCCTGATGTATCAGTAACTAGTGTGCATAAATTAATTGATCCAAGCATATACATTCAAGTATCCCAAATTAAGAAAAACAGAAAA